CTCCTCCTCCTCCTCCTCCTCCTCCTCCTCCTCCTCCTCCCCCTTCCACAAAACTCCCTTCCTGTTCTTTGGTGTCCTCTGAGCTTTGGTGGTTTTCTTGCAGATGTTTCAGGGCCGAGTTAAGGTAACAGCATCAATGCTAGAAGGGTTTGCCCTCTCTCTTCTGGTACTGATGATGTAACCTTAGTTACGTCAAAAAACGCGCACAAGAAAACAACCACGCTCAGAGAGCACCACGGGGCCCATCGTCCGTTTCCTGTCCTATTCTCTTCTACCAGTTTTGTTGCACCAAACTTTCCCATCGGCTGAGAGATCCCAAGACACCCGTTCGAATCCTCCAAGTGTTTCCCACATACGACAACGTGACAGCGAGGGACACACAAGACAGCAAACTTTCTTCGATCTCTGGAGGCCCAAACATCTCGTCTTTCTGTCCATCCTGAATGTGAGCTAGGATGGATTTGATGACAACCTTCCTTGGTTACTTCCCAACAGACCGGATTCCCTCCTTACCGTGTTCACCATCTTGTCAAATTCCTCCTGAGATACGTAATGGTAATCTAATTTGTTCTCTTCTCCGAAATAAGGGCTCCTGGTGGTATGACAGGGGCTGAGTAGGAAGCAAAGCAGAAAGAGAAGGAACTGAGAACAGGGGGTGAGGAAGGCTGAGGTCCCGTTCAGAGTTGAACTGAGTAACAGAATGACAGAGCCAGAAGGGACCTCAAGAGATCTTCTAATCCAGGGGTCGCCATCCTTTTGGACCTCAGGGACCACCAAACTCATCATTTTAAATCTCCCAGACCAGAGACCCTGGGAAAATCCCCCAAAAAGTCTGCAGGAAAATTCCCCACCCTGTTTTCCTATCGAACGATCATTCTTTACCGTCTCCAGCTCCATTCTCAGGGAGAGAGAGAGAGAGAGAGACTTTTGGCTTCATGCAAGGAAAGCAGCAGAAGCCGCAGAAGTCTTTCTTTCTCTCCCCCAAACTCTGCCAAGGCGATTATCTGACGCATTTAAGGAATGCACTGCTTATCCACCTCTCTCTTTCTGCTGGCAAGTAAAAAGACCAAAGGGGTATTTTTTTAGTTGACACTGCCTCCACCAACTCCCCAAAGATTCCCAAATGCGTAGGACTCATACCTGTATCTGAAATAATTGTTGAACTTCCGACACAGCCGGTGACAAAGTTCTCGCTTCCAGCAGGCCAACGGTCCAGTCAACACCAACATGGGGTAGGGAGCATCAAGGCTGGGCAGGGTGCTGTGGAAAGAGAAGAGAAAGCTTGATGGAGCCTCTCAAACAAGAACATTACACACAAAACCTCTGGGTGAGTTTCTCATTACTGTAATAGATGAACTATGTATATACGTACAATGACAATAAAGAATTCAAATTCAAATTATTGTAATAGATGAATTTCTATTAGGATGGTGTAGTAGATCATGGAGCGATGGGATTTTATTTAATGTAACCAGGGTTTTCTTTCAAAATTAAGAGTTGGTTAAAAACCAAAAAGCTTCCAGACTTTGAACAATCAAAGCTTTCCAAAGTCCTTAAAGAGTTTTCTAAGAATAAAACGATGTACAGACTTGAGGGGATGCTGTTCCTTTAATTATTTTGAAGGAAGAGAATCAAAGATTGGGAGAAACCAGGCTCAAAAGCAGGAACTGAGAGAGGGATCTTGGAGTCTTAGTGGACAACCAGCTAAATAGGAGCCAGCAGGGTGGAGCAGTAGCCAAAAAAGCTAATGCAATCCTAAATTGCATTAACAGAGGGATACAATCGAGATCAAGGGAGATACTAATAGCACTCTATAAAGCCTTAGTAAGGCCACACCTAGAGTACTGTATCCAGTTTTCATCACCACACTATAAAAAAGAGGTTGGGACTCTAGAAAAAGTGCAGAGAAGAGGAACCAGGATGATTAGGGGACTGGAGACTAAAACATACGATGAATGGTTGCAGGAACCGGGCTTGGCTAGTGTAGGGAAGAGAAGGACCAGGGAAGACATGATAACAGTCTTCCAATATTTGAGGGGCTGCCCCAGAGAGGAGGAAGGGGTCAAGCTATTTTCCAAAGCACCCGAAGGCCAGACAAGGAACAATGGATGGAAACTGATCAAGAAGAGATTCAACCTGGAAATAAGGAGAAATTTTCTGACAGTGAGAACCATCAACCAATGGAACAGAAGTTGCCTTTGGAAGTTGTGGGACCTTCATCCCTGGAGGCTTTCAAGAAGAGATTGGACTCCCATCTGTCAGAAATGGTGTAGGGTCTCCTGCATGGGTGGGGGGCTGGACTAGATGACCTACAAGGTCCTTTCCAACTCTGTTATTCTGTTAAAGCATAGCCTTTTTGTGTAGGGAAATATATGCTTGATAAATATTTGAGGGGCTGCTACAGAGAGAAGGTGGTCAAGCTATTTTCCAAGGCACCTGAAGGCCAGACAAGGAATAATGGATGGAAACTGATC